TTTGAGCCAAGTTCTGGATGTGAGGGGAGTGGAGAACGTCTGTCTTGAGAATTTGTTACCTTGGGTTTGAGTTTGTATTACCAGCTTTTGGAGGGGATTTCCCCAAGCTGGGAAATTAAAGTTACAGAGCAGAGGAGAGATTCCACGAGAACAAGTCACATAGAACGAACGGCAGAATGGGAGCCCCAAGAACGTCAAACAAAAGGATCTTTAGAGGGTGCCTCTGAGTATGTGAAAACCGGGTACAAAAAGAATCAAAAATACAAAGGTACAAGACAGGAGAAATAAGACAGACTTTAAAAAGAAACTAGAAACTAGGGGAGGGAGAAAAAAAAAAACAGAAAATTCTATAGATGTAAAATAAAATGTTTAAATGTGAACAGCAAATTTGACAGACTCTTTCAGAATCACTTAACTAGATGGAAAATCAAGAAAAACTAGAAAGTTTGGGCAAAGATAAAGTGATGGAACAGAACTGAAGACATGAATTGAGGTATGGAAGGTGACATGAAAATGTTTGACATAGATGTATTAGAAAATATGGGAACAGAAATATTTGAAGAGATGGCAACCCGAGAATTTTCCAGAACTGGTGAAAGGCAAAGTATGCATGTCAAATTTCAAGATAACCAAATAAAGTGCATTAACTCCAGAATGATGTAAAAACTACAGCAGAATAAGGAATCCATCAATCCAATAGAAAAGAAAACAAAGTACAAACAAAAAAAAACAAAAGACGGTAAAAATGAATCCAAATAGCAATGTAAAGAACAGTATGTAACAGTATATTTATATTTTGGTTTTATGATAAAACCAAACTTATCCATCAGAGACCGTCAGACTCCCAACATTTTTTTTCCAAGAGTGCATTTTGCTGCGGTTTGCAGTAGACACCAAGGCACAGAGATGTAAAAGTTGCAAATAAAGAAATGGAACAAATATATTTGAGGTAAATTCTAACCAGATAGGAGTAACCATACTGACATCCAGTGGATTTTCTAAGGCACTATTGTAAAGAGTAAACACAGTTACCTCCTAGTGATAAAAAGAACAAGTAATCAGTGATATTATTCAAAGTTTATACACTTGTTAACGGCCTCAAAATATATGACATATTTTAGAGACATAAGAGAAACTGGCAAATTATAATTAGGGAGATTTCCATAAAAAAAATTCTCAGTAATAAATCACTAAGATTTGAAAAACAATTGACCAACTTGCTCTAATGGTTCCCTGTATCCAACAGTTAGAGAATGGACATTCTTTTCAAGCACATGTAAAGAAAACACATTCAGCTATACGTCTTATCCCATTTTAAAGAAACTGTCAAAGTGGGCGCCTGGGTGGCTCAGTTGGTTGGGCGACTGCCTTCGGCTCAGGTCATGATCCTGGAGTCCCTGGATCGAGCCTGCTCGGCAGGGAGTCTGCTTCTCCCTCTGACCCTCCCCCCTCTCATGCTCGCTCTATCTCATTCTCTCTCTCAAATAAAATAAATAAAAAGAAAGAAACTGTCAAAGAAATAACATTCTCTGATTAATTCTAAAATGAAATTACGCGGTTTTTAAAAGGTAAAAAAAGTCACTTTGGGAATCTAAAAAATCCTAAATAACTCTTAAGCGAACTAATAATGGAAAAGAGAAAATACAACTGAACAGTAAGGAAAACCCATACATATCAGACCAGTTGATGTGAAGAAAAAAAATCTGTAGTTTTAAATGCTTACATTAAAAGGAACAAAGATTACAAAGCTAACCAAGGATTTCTAGAGAATAAAGAAGTACATTAAAAAGGAACAAAAAAAGAGTAATAAAAATAAACCCTAAACTGGTTCTCTGCACAATTAATCATAAAAATGTTTAAATACATCACAGAATAGGTTTTTTAGAAGAGACTGGACTGTGTAGTTGAAAACTTCACTGAAACGGACAGTTTTCTAGAAGCAGCAATACCTGGAGGGGAGAAAGGATAGATCATGTCATACGTGGTTTGTGAATCATTGCATATCCATGCAGAGAAATACAAAATTATATTTCTTCTTATACGATTTTACTTTAGGGAGATAAGAAATCTCAGTGCAAAATCAGATGTAGAAGGCAGTGGTGCCTTGGCAGAGAAGAGGATTTCCTAAGAAAGTGTAAGCCATAGGAGAAAATCTGTGAAAATTTGATGATGACAGATTAAGAATTTCTCTTTATATGGTGCTTTCCATAAAAAAAAGTTAGGCTACCGACTACAAGAAGATAATAACTGGACAATATAATTGATACAGCAGGGATTTTCACAGTAAACTGCCAAGTCAAAGCTCAGTATTTGTCAGTCTGTAATACTTATTACGTGCTTACATTTTTAAAGATGTTTTTCAGGCAAAATTCACCTACTGCAAAATGCAGAGATCTTAAGGGGATAGTTTGAATTTTTTGACAGGTATATACGCCAGGTAAACGGTATCCTACTCAAGATACAGAGAGTTCCCTGGAGCCCCTGATGGTCAGTCTTCACCCTCCAAGGAAGAAGAAATCACTCATTTCTAGAAATCACTCCTCATTTCTATCAATAGATGAGTTTTGCCTGTTTGAGAACCTCCTATGAATGGAACCATACATATCTGGCTTTTTCCCTTCAACATGTTTTTAAGACTGATTTGTGATAGATGTATCAGCAGTTCATTTTTTTTTCTTTTTAAAGATTTTATTTATTTATTTGACAGAGACACAGCGAGAGAGGGAACACAAGCAGGGGGAGTGGGAGAGGGAGAAGCAGGCTTCCCGCCGAGGAGGGAGCCCGATGTGGGGCTCTATTCCAGGACCCTGGGATCCTGACCTGAGCCGAAGGCAGACGCTTAACGACTGAGCCACCCAGGCGCCCCAGCAGTTCATTTTTTAAACCGCTGAGTAGTATTCTGCTCCATGCGTCTTCCACCATTTGTGTAAGAAACTGCCAAATTTTTCCAGAGTGACTGTATCATATTATACTCTCATCATCAATGTCTGAGCAAACTCTGTTTTTGAAAAGATTATGAAGGATAGGACAGAGAATATACGGGAGAGAAAATGAAAATGATAAATTCCTAAGCTGCTTAGTCTCCTTGTAATCATACAAATGCTGATGAAAACCATGACGAGCCATGATTCGGATGTAGGCAGTGAAATTCGTGCACCGCTGGTGGCTGCCGGTGACTCGTGCACATCCGACAAGGTGTCAAGTGCATGGCGGCCCTCTCCTGTCACCTGCCAGTTCTGTACTGTGAGAAACTCAAACGTATGTGAGGGAGCTTGCTAGTACTGTTCTCTGCAGCTTTGTTTGTAGATGCTCCAAGTTGGAACCCACCAAGTAAGTAATCATTGGTAGGGTCCGTGGACAGGAAGATGGATAATTTCTTGTAGATCTGTACTGTATCCAACGTTTGAGTACAGACGGAATAGTAATTTTGTGCACAGTTTCACAGCAAGCTATGAAGACATTCCCAGGAATGCTATGCACCAAATCATGGGGCTGTTTGCCCCCAGGGAAAGTGGAAGGAGGAGTGGCATTAAGGAGGAGCACTAAGCAGGTCTGTTGCAAAATCTGTCCTATTTAATTTCCTAAAAATTTGAGGTGGGATGTAGGTGGAATGAGACAAGCATGGGAATATGAGATTTGTCCAAACTGGATCATGAGTTTATGAGAGTTCACCGTGTGTTAAAATCTGCCATTCTTGTACATTTGAAATATTTAATAAAATGATTCATTGTTTTAGGGCATAGTTCTTTGATTACTGCTGAGGTTAAAGATTTTTTTTTTTTTTTCCCAGACTTGGCCATTAATAGGTATTTTTTTCAGCTTTGGGATTTTCTCTTGGTACACTCTGCCCATGTTCCTGTGGAGGTTAACTTTTTCACGTTGTTTTTAATTTAATTGCTTAAAGATAGTAACTCACTGAAGGTATCTTTTCCTGAAATATTTTCAAAATTTCAGATTAAGTGCTTTGACGACTTTGCTAAGAAAACCCTTCCCCAACCTTAGATCAGGAAAATGTCTGTGTGTATTTGTTTTATGGTTTCGGTTTGTATATTTTAATTCTTAATCCATTTGTGATGTATTTTGGAGTGCGGAATATTTTTTGAAATCTCCTCTGTCTTTACCCACCGACTTGAAACAAATAGGCCAGAATATTTTGTCTTAGGGATTTTTCTTTCTGAATCAGTGTTGTTGTCTTTCAGTTAGCTTTAGCCCAGAAATACTGCCTGCAAAGTGAAATAGTCTGAGTGGTTCTCTGCCTTAGCTGCCCTGTCTCCCATGCGCGGCAGCCCCCACAGCTGCTGTCTTTCTGTCTTGTGTCTTCTATGACTCCCGCATCTCCAACCCATCTCCAGCCCTCTTAGCCGTGCGCGAGCCCTGCTGTTTGTGGTTGGTTGATTTTACACACCTGTGACTTTCTGTGGTAATAAGAGCTCGCTTGCACTGCCATTTCTTCTGCTTTTTGCCCTTCATCTGCAAAGCATAGCTTTAAATTCATTCATAAATAATTTTAAAATAAAGTTTTAGTTATTTTGATATTTATAATGTATGCTTTTAGAAATACAGCTAAGCATCATAATAGACTATGGTTATAGCTTTTTGTTTTTCTTGAAGGAGGTAATTGCTTTTTTCTCTCATTTGGAACCTTTGTACCAGTTGCCAGTTCTCATGCCTTCTGATACACTCTCAGGACAATATCCCACAAGGTCAGTCACATGACATGATCTTAGAAGGTCCTGTGTTTCTTAGGCGACCTTCCTCAGAATGTTCCATCATTCTCAGCAGGCTGCTCCCTGGGCCTGCAGACAAGCTTGTAAGTCCTGGGGCTGATTGACTTGAGCTTTATTGTGTTGAATGGAATCTTTTTTCCGCTCTAGTTTTAACAGATTTTTGTTGATAGAGTGGGAAAATATTGGTATGAATATATTTTCTTTAAAAATATGTCGGTATTAATCACTGTTGACATGGATGATGCATGTTGATTTCCTTAACTTTTCTCCAAGTCATGTTTATAACTACTGCACAAGTGTTCACCAGTCAAACCAAGCCCGAGGGGCTGGCGTCCCTCCTTCCAAATCGAAAAAGGGACAGACGCCTGGGGGAGCTCAGTTTGTTGGCTTGGAATTATACAAACGGCTTAAAGAATTTTTGAAGAATTACTTGACGAATCTTCTTAAGGTAAGATGTTTAACACATGTGCTGACCATTTATAATAGAATGTAAAAAAGTAGTAGTGAAATGATGATTCTAACTTGATGGAATGCTAAATCTCTCACTGTTCTGTGTTCATTTTTTCCGGCATTGATGTGTGCGTGAAGATACTTTGCTATTGCTTAGTCTTTTACCTGTTGTGAAGATGAAACTTTCATAAGCCCTTTTCTCTTTTTTAATTTGTTAATGAGAAGTTTTTCATAGCTATACCATAGTAGTACTTCCCTTAAATTACTAACCATTTTATATTTGGTTGTTAGAAATTGATGAATCTTTTAATTTCAAGCGTATAATTATGAATACCGATGTTGTGTATTGAACCCAGTATGTTGTTCTGTATACAAATGTATAAATGATTATAAGGTTATCTAACCTTTGGCAATCGCGTTTTTCCAGTGTGACCTTGCCTTTTACACACGGTCATGTAGTATATTTCAGAACGACAATGAAATCGTGCCCTTGGCTAGGATGGGTTTCTCTACGAACATCCCTGGCCTTCAAATATGGGTTCCTCCTGCCCCGAGCCGTGGCTTGGGCAGTGATGGAGTTTTTCCCTTTCATCTTCTGCCTTCTCCCTCCTCGGTAACAAAGGCAGTGTGATGCCTTCTGTCCAGCCACAGGATGGGCAAGTGGCTCCTTCATCCCGTGCTACCCATATCACATAGAGTGAGTGAAGACATCTGTACCTTCTACCCTGGGAAGTCTGTGCTCTGTGTATATCCTTTAAAGACTTTTTATTTACACAGATAATAGGCAAAAATTCCAACATGCTTCAAAATTGTTTTCTTAATGTATTTTACAAGGTAATTGGAAACTTAATATCATTCTAACAGACCATAGTTGATTGACCACAAATTGTGACTAAAATTTTCACATTCCCTAAACAGTGTTTGTAATGTTTTGCAGAACCCACTGTGTCCTTATGTTTATTCATAACACTTTGTAAAGTGAACACTGGAATTAATTATTCTTCAGCATTAAAGCGAGGAACAGTAGCATTTGGTGCTGTATGAAAGTATTGGTAGTTGTGCTCTATCAGTGGTCTCTTCGCATTTTTTTTAAAAAAAAGGTCATGTACTATAATCCAGAGTGGCTTAGCTTTACATTTTATAGTTCATTCCTTATTTAAATTTCAATAAACAAAAATGTGGTTGTATCAAGATGTGGTCAGGTTTTCACGCGGCTTGCTGGATCACTTGTGTACCGCCTATGTGTGGAACTTCGCTTCTTACTCTGGTTGAAGACTCGGAGGTGAGCGAAGGGGGTGGCTTGCCTTAGTTCCTGGTGGGGCTGCCTCCCTTCTGCCTCCGTCTGGTGCTTTTCTGCCGCAGGCTCTGTCAGGGACACTGCAGTGGAACCTGCAGTTTTTAAAGGGTAGGCTTTGCTTTGTGGATGTCATCAACACCTGAGAAAAAAATGTCAAGTTGGTCCTTCACATAAAAATTTGTGGTTTAAGTTGTGGAAATCTTGGTAAAAATAATTTTGATGGATGCACATTTTCCCCTTGAGCTCTTGTTAAAGAAGAAGGAATATTGCACCATTATACTTTATTTGTACAGAAATGTAACAGATTACCGCAAAAACTATACATTTATCATTTTTAGATACACTTAATGAATGAAAAAGATGCGTTAAAAAATTGAATAGCATTGGCCCTGTGGTCATAGGACATTTTAATTTTTAATAGAAAATATCAAAAATAGGGATGATTTTGAGCTAAATTCCTTTCTTGTTAAGAATGAATTACTCTCATTCTAAAAGTTCAGGTTCTTTAAAAATAAATAAATAAAAGTTCCAGGTTCTTCGTATGATTGTGCATATTTAATACCAATGAAAAAGTTGCAGTTTGAAAAAATTTTTATTAGAATTCTCTTTAGTCTGATTCTCACAAGCTATAGTCCGATGAGAATTGGTATTAATGAGTATGGTTTTGTGTACAAAATAAAAAGCTCATCTAAAACCAAACACATCAATGTATTTTAATGCAGTAGATTTGTTTTAGTTAATTTTTATCTTTATCATGTGATTAGTCCATAAAGCTTGAGTTAACTCGTTTGTAGGACGGAGAAGATTTGATGGATGAGAGTGTACTGAAGTTCTACACTCAACAATGGGAGGATTATCGATTTTCCAGCAAAGTGCTGAATGGAATTTGTGCCTACCTCAACAGACATTGGGTTCGCCGTGAGTGTGACGAGGGACGAAAAGGAATCTATGAGATCTATTCTGTAAGATACATATTTTTTAAACACTTTTCACATGTGTATTTTCTTAGTGATACCTCATCCGGTCAGTAGAGGAATCTAGGCAAATATGAAGCTATTTTCAGAAGAGTAGGCTAATTTCTTTTGCTTTAATTATCAATAAATGACCCTTAAATATCTTGTGGCAGGAAAGGGGAAGGATGAATAAACTGGAGTTCTAAAATACAGCCTCCACACTTCTGCACTGACTGATAGCAAGTTTCTTCTGCAGTTATTTCACAGCCATCCAGTTGAGCCTGGAACTGTCCCAGTTTTAGCGTTGGACATCCCACACGCTGGCCGTGGCTGGCAAATGCAGTCCCTGGCCTGAGACCCAGGCCTCACGGATCAGCCCTCAGGGTCTTGTGGTTTGGGAAACTGTTCAAGGAGAGGACTGTGCCATGAGATGTCCTCCTACCCTCTCACTTTACAAAATAATCTGACAGAAAATTGAGAGGTTCTTTTAGACCCCATGAAAATAGATTTTGAAAAGGTAAAGTTTGAGTGATTAAATCATCTTCATTAATATGTTTCTTCAGTCAGGGAAGAAGCTTGTTCTAGGCCCATAGGTTTCCAAAGTGTGGTCCCCAAACCCACCACATCTTGGGCCCCTGGGAACGTGCTAGAAATGCAGATGACTGGGACCCAGCAGAGTGTGGTAGCAAGCCCTCGAGCTGGGGCTGATGTGCAGTCACGTGGGAGTGCCGACGTCGTAATGCAGTGAAGGGGAGGACCTGAGCACGGACGGGCGGTCAGGTGCACACGCTGTAATCTTCTGGAACCAGTGGTGGGGAAGATGTCAAGTTCTGCATAATGAGATTCTCTCCATATCCAGGAATGTTCGTGTAATAGCAGTACTTTACTGCTTTACTATTTGCAGATTTAATGAAAGAAAAACATAATATATCATAGATGAGTGACAGACTCTTATCACTTACATAGTTCAGTTTCTGTGCCAAACTGTTACTTCATAAAGGTACTTGGGTGTATAGTTTTCACAAAACTTTCTAGATTTAGTGTTTTGGTTTGAGCCTTTTGGACTTGCCCTTTTCTTTTCCACTTACAAATGCTTTCTTGAGACTGAAAGTTGTCAGTGTGGGAATCCGCGTGATTTGGGTTGATTTCCTCTTGGTTGCCACCTTCACCTGAAACACCGCGTGTACCCCACAATAACATCACAGACTCCTAAAAATCATTATAACTTTTTGTGTGCTGTATTCAAGAACAGTTAAAGAAAGAAGTACAAGTATACCTCAAGATTCGACTGCTTTTATTTTTTTATTTACTTTGAAAATTCATACTTTCTACATCCTTAAATCCCGTAGTTACCATTTGGAAATATAACATGCAGCATACATTTTAGCAGAGGCTGATTAATATCCCTATCTAGAAATAGAATTTGCTCTGTGTGCTCTTCCAGTGAACCTGATGAATTCGTTTAAAGTTCAAGCATCAGTTGACACAGTGGGATAGTTGGGCACAGTGATCTCTCATTGTATTTTCCCAAAGTTCCAGAAGGTGGGGATGATTTGTCAAGAAATAATAAGTTTTACTTTTTTCCTGATAATTCTTTCTTCCTTTTTTAATTATAGAAAGTTGTTGTTTTCCTTTCATGTCCACTAGAGAACATAAGTTAATTTCATTATTGATACATTAAAGTGATTGAGCAAGATTTTTTTCCCTGACTCTCTTCCTCTGAACTCTCTCTGGTGTACCATTGGCCCTTCTTTCTTATCTTGCCAGCTCTTCTTCCTTTCTTCTTCAAAGTGACAAATTATCCAGAGTCAAATTAGAGCTGTCTAAGGCTTTTTAATTTAGAAAAATTTTTGGAAAACAGTTATTTTTGAAGGCGTAGAATGTCTTTACTAGAAGTTCATGGCCATGGCATCGCATTTTCCCTCCTGCCTCACTCCTGCATTAAAGAAGTCTGAAGAGTTGAGAACGAACAGCGACAGAGAATTTGCACAGAGAAAATGTATTTTCCAAACAATTGCCCCAGGGTTGCATTTCTCCAGAAAAATGAGGCTCTTCCTTTCCAGCATCTTTTTGGATATCATAGTTTCTAATTCTGAAATCTTATTTTTATGCTAATATTACCCGAGTATGTATTGTTCATACTTTATTAAAAATAGTTTTCTCTTAGAATGAAATCTTGCCATTGGCAACAACACAGATGGATCTGAAGAGTATTATGCTAAGCAAAATAAGTCAGAGAAAGAAAACACCATATGATCTCACTCACATGCGGAACTTCAGAAACAAACCAAGAAAAAGAGACAAACTAAACACCAGACTTTTGAGCTGCCACCTTGTGTCTCCGTGTGTACGCCTAATCTCAGCTGGTCCCACCGAGACCCCCTGAGCACCAGCCCGCTTCCCCTGCGCAGTCCCATTTCCGCTCCAACAAGATGAAAGAAACTATCACGAACCAGGAGAAACTCACCAAACTGCAAGCACAAGTGCGCATTGGTGGGAAAGGAACTGCTTGCCGAAAGAAGGTGGTTCATAGAACGGCTACAGCAGATGATAAAAAACTTCAGTTCTCCTTGAAGAAGTTAGGGGTAAACAGTATCTCTGGTATTGAAGAAGTGAATATGTTCACAAACCAAGGAACAGTGAATCCCCTCTAGCCACCCCAAAGTTCAGGCATCGCTGGCAGGGAACACTTTCACCATTCCAGGCCATGCTGGCACAAAGCGGCTGACAGAAATGCTACCCAGGATCTTAAACCAACTTGGTGCGGACAGTCTGATTAGTTGAAGAAGACTGGTTGAAGCTCTGCCCACACAATCGATGGGCGGAAAAGCACCACTTGCTACCAGAGAGGATGACGATGATGAAGTTCCAGATCTTGTGGAGAATTTTGATGAAGCTTCCAAGAATGAAGCAAATTGAATTGAGTCAACTTCTGAAGAAGATAAAACTTGAAGAAGTTACTGGGAGCTGCTATTTTATATTATGCCTGCTTTTTAAAATTTTGTTCACGGATCTGATAAAATCTAGATCTCTAATACTTTTAGAGAGTGCCCAAGCCCCTTGGACACTGCAGCTCTTTTCAGTTTTTGCTTAGGCACAATTCATTCTTTGCAGCTAATTAAGCTGAAGAAGCCTGGGAATAAAGTTTGAAACAAGGTTACTAAAGTTCTTTGCCTAGGGGGGGTGGAAAAAACAGACCTTTAGCTATAGAGGACAAGCTGATGGTTACTAGAGGGGAGGTGGGTGGGCACAGGGAAAATAAGGGATGGAGGTTAAGACGTACACTCACCGTGACAAGCAGTGAGTGATATGTAGAATTGTTGGACACCTGAAACCAATATAACTGTTAACTATCCTGGAATTAAAAATTTAAGTAATAAATTAAAAAATAGTTTTCTTTTAAATATTGCTTTCATGCTGTCTTTTTTTCTGTGGTAGAAATATCACTCAGTTCATTGTATAAATTAAATTATAATCTTTTCTGAAATATAGATCTTACATAAACCCAGCTCTATCTGTGGTTAAATTTGGGGAAAATAAGACTGAAAGCATTTATGTTTAAGTGAGTTCCTCAGCTGTTTGTATTGAGTACTGAATTGTTATAAATTTGAATTTTACTCTGAGAAGTACCTCTCTTAACAAACAGCTTAAAAATCATGAATGAATTATAACATTTCTCTTGTGGGGGACATTTTTAGAGTGATTTTCTGGTATTACCTCTGTGGGAAGTTTTAAAAACTTTTTAAAATGTATCAGAGAAACCCCCCCCACACACACACACAAACACACACATGAATACAAGTAAAATGGGAAATCTGAGTAATTCATGTATAATAAACTGCATCTATGTAAAGTGTCCATTTTGGTGCATTTACAGTTGTATGCATCCATGCAACATAAATCACCACAATTAAGATACAGAACTTGCTAATTTTTTATTGTCTGTTACTTATTTTACTGAGTATCAGGAAACTATGATAAATGGAATTATCTTCATTAAGTGTGTTAGGTCAGAAATTAAATTTGGGCCAGGGAATAGTGTTAGAAGTTGAATCCCCTGTTGTCCTGTAAGCTGATGTGTATTTTCTCCTAAAGATCCAGATTTTCTTTTTATCTTAATTATTAAAATGTGAGCTAACAAACATCTGTACTCTGATACTTCCTGAAGTTGTTAAGAGAGTGTCTCTCATTTCATCATGATGATAGATTGTTACCCAGTTATAATCTAGAAATATTGGTCAGTGAGATTCAGGCTGATTCCTATGACTTCAGTCTTAGAAAAACGTAGTAAAAGTATAGACATCTTATGCTTCTTTTTCTTTTCATCCAGCTTGCATTGGTGACTTGGAGAGATTGTCTGTTCAGGCCACTGAATAAACAGGTACCAACTTGTGTGAGTGTGTCCATGTTTTCCTTTCAAAACCCCTTACAGATTTGTTCCTTGGGCCTTGTCTCCCCTTCCTTTAGAATGTCCTTCGAGGGGTGCCTGGGTGGCTCAGTTGGTTAAGCGGACTGCCTTTGGCTCAGGTCATGATCCTGAAGTCCTGGGATCGAGTCCCGCGTCGGGCTCCCCTGCTCAGCGGGGAGTCTGCTTCTCCCTCTCCCGCTCCCCCCCGTGCTCTCATTCTCTATCTCATTCTCTCTCTCAAATAAATAAATAAAATCTTTAAAAAAAAAAAAGAATGTCCTTTGAGTATCTCTCATCTTGCATTGTCTAATGAGCTCAGTCTGAGATGTGTAGTAATACGCATACTGTAGTCTATGACCTACCTGCCTTTTTTTCCCTTATCCTTCCTAAAGGTAACGAATGCTGTTTTAAAACTAATTGAAAAGGAAAGAAACGGTGAAACCATCAATACAAGACTGATAAGTGGAGTTGTACAGTCTTATGGTAAACAGTTTCCCTGTAATTTATTCAGAGTTTTTATATCAAATGACAGTTGTAACAGTGTTCTGACGGATTCATTTACAGATATTTTAGATTTAAGAATATTGTTTGCATTTACAAGGGCGCTTGGAATTCTCTTTAAGTTAATGTGGTTCTGTTCGATTTTACCCATCATAAAAATTGTTTGATCTTTGTACCTGAAGGGAATTTTGAGGAATTAGACATTTGAATTATCTTCTGGTCTCATTGAGTTACTGTATATATAATAAGATAGAGTGTCATTAATGGATGATAACCAGAAGTCTCTGTCAGCTTGAAGAATTGAGATTGAGAAACCGATAAGCTAATGCAGTGTTTTAAAAACTTAGGTGACATCGTATTTCTCTGAAAGTTTAAATTTAGTCATTTTTAGGGAGCAGGTGAAATTGGTGAAGGGGATTAGGAGCTATAAACTTCTAGTTATAAAATAAGTCATGGGGGGGATAAGGTGTAGCGTTGGGAATGGAGGCAATAATATCATAATAACTCTTTAAGGGACAGATGGGGACTCGACTTAATGGTGGGGACCGTCTTGTAATGTACACAAATACCAGATCGCTGTGATGGACCCCTGAAACCAGGAGGCTGTTTGTCAGCTATACTTCAATTAAAAATAAATGTCATGTTTATTATTTTTAAGCTTTTAGAAATATAAGTGTTTTTCAAATGAACTGCATGATAACTCTGAAGCATGCTTGGCCATGGGTCAGAATTACTTGCTTTCATGTCTTGGATTCTGTGTCTTTTCTTTCATTGAAACAGTGTACTTGAATACCAGTGAATAACAGATTTACCTTAGGCCTTATCATTGTCCATTTACCTCTTAAACGTAAACTGAATGCTACACACCTAGGTATATTGTGTAAAATATAACAAAAACTGGGGTAATTGAAATATAGTTCCTATTTATTTCTAGTGGAATTGGGGCTGAATGAAGACGATGCATTTGCCAAGGGCCCTACGCTGACCGTGTATAAAGAGTCCTTTGAATCTCAGTTTTTGGCTGACACGGAGAGATTCTATACCAGGGAGAGCACTGAATTCTTGCAGCAGAACCCAGTTACTGAGTATATGAAAAAGGTAAGCTTAACTATGGCACGTGGAGCAGACTGAAGTTAAAACAGTTACTACTGCTCCAGTGAATTCTTCTTTTTCACGTAGGCAGCTTTTGCACAGGTCATTTCTCAGGCCGTGTTGTCCTGTAGCGTCCAGGCAGGTGCAGACGCTTCTCCCGGTGCCCCAGGCAGCTTTTATAAATTCATCTGAGAATCACGGCTCAGTGTTCTCTCTGCTGCTCTGAGGACGGAACCGTCCTAGCCATGCGACTTCCCTGGTCTGAGCCGTCTCGCAGCGTGTCTGTGTACATCTGATGGGAGCCGCAGTCCTGTGTCAGTGAGAAACAATTCCTAGGTTGGCAAACTTTAGCTGTTTGCTTTTCCACGTCTGAAATACTCTCTGACAGTCTCCAGCACAGCTTTCAAGTTGCTAGTAGAGGAGGTGCTTCTGAAACAACAGAATCTGGGATGGATCATCAGTTCTGTGCTAAGCGATGTTACAGGGAAGTAGTTCTTTTGGTTCTCTTTCTTGGGAAGACAGGTATCCTGGATTGTCACTGTGAGGAGTGACTGAGGGTAGGAACTGGCAAACCCATTCTGGGAAAGGTCAGGGAGCAACTGTCTTTGACTTCGCACTCGCTCTCTGTGCTGCCATGGCAGCATCCAAACAAATGGGTGTCGCTGTGTTCCAGTGAAATTTTACCCACAGGCAGGATGTGGCCTGTAGGCTCTCGTTCGCCGACCCCTGGCCAAGATGGACAGGATTTCCAGGGAGGCCGAGCTAACTGTGTCTGATCTCTGCCTTGCCTTTATTCTCTCTTCACGGGGAGAGCGAAGGGAGTGAGTATGGAGCCACGTATCCACGGGCCGAGACAGGCAGTTAGCAAGTCAGCCCCGTAGGAGCAGTGGGGGCCTCTGAGCACATGCATCCCACCCCGTTTGTGCATGATGTTCTGGCTGCGTTTTCCCATAGGAGATAGTGCTTATAAGTGGGCCTTAGAAGTTTGAAGTTGAAAGTCCTTGACTAACAAATTTCTGAGATCTCAAAGCCTAACAAAAATGGAAGTCTTCAGAAGTCTCAAACTTGGAAGTAGTAGCAGTTCTTTGTGTATGTCTGCGGGTTAAATGAGCTTTTGTGTGTGCTGACCCCGAGCATAATTGCCTATTTCATGTGTTAGCTTGGCAGCGCAGTTTTCATGCCCACATCTCTGCTTGAACTCTGCTGCATATGGTGATGCTCTTAAGGGTGGGGTCTTTTGTCAGGGCACACATCTGTGGGGTCTCAGTTCCCGTCCTCTGCGTGAGACCAGAGCTACGTGAGCACTCCCAAAGCAGGCAGATAGGGTTTTTCAGTCAGGCCTGGAACCAAAGGCAGCTTGAGGAGCAAAGACTTACCGTGGTCTGGATGTTTCCAACCCGGTGTGACCCTGCCTTCCTGCATCCTGGTGCTCTTACAGAGGATTCCTTTCTAGCAGGGTTAATGGTTTGGCCCAAATCCAGTTGGATCTTACCAAACATGACTTCTGTCACCTTCTGGAAGTCCATAATATGGAGAATCCAGCAGAGAATCTGTAAGCACAAAATTGGAAGTTAACCATGTGAACAGTTCTCTTGCCTATAGCCTTAGGCTGCAAGTCTAGTTTTAAATCCCTACTCAGCCATTTCCTGGGGAGTTGACCTTAACCCTCTGGTCCTCCATTCCCTCATCTGTAAAATGGGAATAATAATTTTGTAATACATATGGTTGGTGCTGGGCAAAGAGCAAGCGTGTTGTGTTTGCTAGGACAGGCATACGTGATTCACGGCCTCCGGTAGATGCCTGAGAATATGCAAAACCACAGGATAAATGGGGGCACATTTTATTTAATGACTTGAGGAGGAATTATATTAAAGCATCATGTCAGGAAATAGAATTTAAAACTCATGAACAAAATGGAGATAAAGAATGAGCCTTTGACAAGTATTCTGCTTTTAGCTGCCGGTTTGGGCTAGATGTGCAAATTCCCTGGGGGTCTGCGTTCCCTTTTCTGTGATGTCCAGGGATGTTTTAGTGGAAACATTTGAGAATCTTTGGCTTCTCTGCAATAGGGATGGCTTTGATAAATGAACAGCCCTAAGCCACATTAGGGCTTGTAAGCTGTCCTGCTGTCTCATGTGATTGAGACTAATGTGAACTACAAAAGATTTGTTAACTATTCCAGGTTACTAATGTCTCTCATCCACACAAACTTTAAAAGTAAAATATACTTCATTAATTTGCTTACCTTTTGTGTTCTGTTTTTCGTTTTGTTTTCACTGTGAACCAATCCTAATAGAATTAATAGGGACAGTCTTTAATTGCTTGATTTTCTTGAGTCATTTTGAATTTGATTTGATCCTGGTGTTCTACGATAATTACCGGACAGCGATGATCGAGAGCCTACTTGACTGAGAATCCACAAAGAGTGTAAATGGCTGTCCTTCCTAAAACCTAATGATGCAACGCCTCATACCTTGGTTTCTTTATCTATAAAATAAGCTATCACTGAGGCCCCTCTGTTCTTCAGTGTCTTTGGAATCACTGATGTGCCAGTTTACTCTTCCCTTCCCTCTCGGCCCCGCAGGAAGGGCACTGCCGTAGAATGCTGCTACCCTCTGTCCTGCAGGGGTTGGAAAGCCACGGTGCTCCCCCAGAGAAGGAGTCAGCAGTGCCACCAAAGCCTTATCTTTCATCTGGGGAGGGGTAAAATTTTAGGGGAAAGCAATGTTTATGACAGTTGAGTTTTTTGCTGCCCGAGGTGATCATGTATAACTTCAAACAGGAAAAGTGGTGCTTTTCAGTTTGTGTGTCCTGTACTATATCAGCTCGCATTCTTGAGGTAACAACAGGCTTAGGGAAATTTTAGATTCGAAGCACCATGTGCTTAACTTAGAACTTCTGACTTAAAGCACGTAAAGATCTCCTATTGTTGGGACGCCTGGGTGGCTCAGTCAGTTAAGTGTCTGCCTTCGGCTGAGGTCATGATCCCAGGGTCACGGAATGAGGCAAGGAGCCTGCTTCTCCCTCTGTCTGCTGCTTCCCCCGCTTGTGCTCTTTCTCTCTCTGACAAATAATCTTTTAAAAAATGTATCTATTCACAATAACTTCATAATCAGAAGAAATATATACATTAGTGGTAGGCTTTTTGGAAAATACGTAAACATAACATAAACCTTCAAGCTTAGGGGACACTATTGCTAAGTATGTATATTAAACCAAATTGGTGGGGCGCCTGGGTGGCTCAGTTGGTTAAGCGACTGCCTTCGGCTTAGGTCATGATCCTGGAGTCCCGGGATCGAGTCCCACGTCGGGCTCCCTGCTCGGCAGGGAGTCTGCTTCTCCCTCTGACCTTCCTCCCTCTCATGCTCTCTCACTCTCTCCTTCTTGCTCTCAAATAAATAAGATCTTTAAATAAATAAATAAAACCAAATTGGAATAATTCTGTAGGTTTTTATGTAATTTGTTTCACACACACACACACACACGTTACATTAACATGTTTTATATTTATTTATTTTACTGGTTAATAGTATTCCATTAGCCAAATATGCTATGCTTTCGTTCCCGCTTACCAGAAACTTTAGGTTTTTTATATTTCTTCTTTTATAAATTCCTTTCACATTTTTTATTTGGTAATACTTAATGATTTTTCAGAGATCATGCTATATTAAGGACATTGACATGTTGATGTATACTACAGATAATTCCCAAGTTTATTTTGTTGTTCACATTTCACTATTTGGAATGTGTAATAAGGTTCTAACTTCTGTTGTTTAAATAATTGTCCCATTGTTAGTAATTCTTGACAGCATAAATCCTGCCTGCATTTTTCTTTTGTTTTCTTGGCTCTTGGGTGTTTATTCTTCCAGTTGAATTTTTCTAGATTTCTCCAAAATTATACCAAATTTAAAATCATTTTAGAAAGTACAGCACTTTTACAATACCAGATAGTTTTTCTCTTTTATTCAAATCACCTGAATAATTTGAGGTTATCAATGAAATTTTGTCCTTGCTCTGATAATTTAGTGGTTCCTTAGTGATACTTTACGCCACACACATTTCTGGTAATACTTTGTAAAATATACGGACTTCTTTTTATTTTGCTGCTCTGTTAAATGACATCTTTGTTTTCCTCTCTTCCTTGAGGGGAATTGTAAGAACTTGAGATGCATAAATAATCCAAAAGTTACAGGGCCATGTACTCAGCAATTGGCAAGAGAAGGCCATGATGGTCGTTTGTTTTGTTTTGTTTTTAATTTTTTAAAAGTCTGATTACTAATAACGATTTCCATGTGGTCATTTCAGGGAATATATTCATGTGACTCTTGACTTCAAGCAGCTTTCAGTGGGAAGCAGGGGTCCTGAACATGGTGTCTGTTTTTGAGGGAGGATCACAGGTTTCTCAGAGAGTCAAGTAGGGATAGTACCCCCAAAAGGTGAAATGCCACATATCTGAAGGAAGAAAGCTGACATAAACACATTTGGACTGCTAACAATGATAACCTTGATAAGTCATTTAAAAGGAGCTGGAGGTAGAAATATATTGCAGAGAAAATTGTGACCACTTAAATATGGTTGGCATTCACCCAGAATCAAAGAACCCCTTCCCTTTTCTCTTAATTTATTAGAGCAGGTTTGTGAGTTGAATTTGCCATTATTCATGGAACAATTCTTTAAGAAGGAATCCAGACCATTCACTTGAATGAATTCCTGCAGGCAGAGGCTCGACTGCTCGAGGAACAGCGGAGAGTCCAGGTCTACCTTCATGAAAGCACACAGGATGAACTGGCCAGGAAGTGTGAGCAAGTGCTCATTGAAAAACACTTGGAAATTTTCCACACAGAATTCCAGAATTTGTTGGATGCTGACAAAAATGAAGGTGAGCCTCTCAGACTCAAGACGTGTGTGCATGTCTGTTATGATCTGCAGTTTTGAAGTTGTTTGAAATTCTGGACTCTGCACATGACCAACATGAGTCATTTTTTAGAAGATTAATGTGTGTGTACCTTGTTGTGTATTGATTTCAGACCTCTGTAGAGGGTTTTGGGTGTAACTTTGGGGGAAGAACATCTTTTCAGTTCAATTTGGAATATAACTTGTTCCATACACTTTAGTGTTAAATGATACTACCCCTGATTTTGTTCTTGAGGATTTTTATTTTGAAAATTCTTCAAGATGTGAAGGCTAGTGTTTTGTAAAAGTCTTTCTTTTACCCTTTAGGTTTTACTGGGATATGTTAGGAGCTCAATAAAAGATTGATGTTCGAATTCAAAAGTTTTCTCTTTGGCCTTCATAAATTAACCATATGCCATACATATATTAAGTGAAGAATTTGGGGGCCCTTTTGTGACTCATTTGTTTGTAGAGTTGAGATGGGTATTCATAAATATTCCTTAAATTTATTCATTTTTTAAAATAAATATTTGAGTGCCCATTATCTATCTAGCATAACTAATATCTCAACCTTGAGAATTTTAGGAAGCATCAGATATACTTCCTGATAAAATTTTTCTCTGTTCTGTTGCTGGTTTCTCATAGTAAAGGAAAAAGTAAACTTTTACAATAACAACTTCATTGTTACTTTCAGCTTAATATATATATATATACACACACACTAAATACAAAATACTTGGTTATAATTAAAACATTTTTGATTATTTAGATCTAAAAGCACCGTTGTTTTATTTCAAGGTGGCTGTCATCACAGTACACGTACATACTTAGTGGGATGGATATGCAAAGTTTGTGTCAGCGCATTAAGGTGGCACCTTCTTCTTTCAGATTTGGGTCGCATGTATAATCTTGTGTCTAGAATCCAGGATGGCCTAGGAGAATTGAAAAAACTTCTAGAGACACACATTCATAATCAGGGTCTTGCAGCAATTGAAAAGTGTGGAGAAGCTGCTTTAAATGTAAGTACTATTTAATTGGAAATCAGCCAGGCCTAACTGTTTCCACCAGGAACTGCAGGTGTCGTGTGCCTCCATTCACGAATCCAAGTGGTAAGATTTCACTAGAACTCTAGTGGGGAACCTTGTTTTGGCTTTTTAAAGTAGAAGGTTCAGAAACCTCTTTGTTTAGTAAATTCCTCCATAAACTTTCCTCTGGCACCTTTTAGGCATTAAGGATGTCATCTCTTGATATTTTTTTCCTTACTTTCTTCTCACAATTACATTCCTTACACTAGAAGAGAGAAGATTCTTCCATAGAACAAACAGCCTAAAGCCTCCTAGACACTTGCCTCTGGTACCCGTGGGTCACAGGCTGCACCTCTTGGGGACTTTGATCTGAGGACTGCCCTTCCGTTGAAGGTCACAGAGCTATTTTCCCCCCTGATAGGCCCTGAAATGTGTAGTATTGCTCATGAACCCCACCACCCCAGGAGGCGCAGGAAATGTTCCTGGCTAGTGTAGCAGTAATTCAGGTGATAATTTTATGTAGGGAGTACCACGTGTTCCTAAAAGACGGGTGAATTGTCTTCAGTTTTGTCCCTGTTGTACACTTTAAATTTGATAGTGTTTGGGAGAACTGATAAAGAAAAGCTTCTAGAACACAGTTGGCTCTTACGTCTGATTCAGAAAACGTTTTAATCTCTGATTTTTATTGTGTTTAATGTTAATTATTTTTGACGATACTGTTTTTTTTTACAATACCGTCTTTTTTTTTTTTTGGACAACACCGTCTTTAATACATCTTTTAAAATCTTCATTTCTCTGTTAACTTTGGAAGATTTCTTTTTATGGGTTGCTGCTTCCCTTTTGACACATTTATGAATTACTAATGGAGTGAATGTAAACCCATTCCTTCCCGGGTTGATAAAATAATTAATTTTGCACTTCCCAGATGGAAGGGACCTGGCTTAGTGGGCGTTGAGAAAGAGATGTCCAGGTTTCAGTGTAAGCTGGCATGTGAGATCCCGGCACTGGGACACGCGGGGTTGGGATCGTGGGGCTGTTGTTACCCTGGCCCGGTTGAGTGTGGCCCCCAACAGTCTGTCTGGGTTCAGATCCCTGCTCCAGCTGTGTGACCTTGCTGCTAACTTGCTTTTCCTCGCTCTGTCAGTTGGGAGGGTTTTTTAATAGAAAAATGACGGTGGGGACACCTGGGTAGCTCAGTCGGTTAAGCGTCTGCCTTCGGCTCAGGTCATGATCCCAGGGTGCTGGGATCGAGCCCTGCATCGGGCTCCCTGCTCAGCAGGGAGTCTGCTTCTCTCTCTCTCCCACTCCCCCGCTTGTGTTTCCTCTCTCTCGCTGTGTCTCTTTCTTTCAAATAAATAAATAAAATCTTTAAAAAAAAGAAAAAAGAAAAATGATGGTGACCACCTCATAGGGTTTTTGTAAACAATACGTGTAAAGTGCTTATTAAATCTGGTGTGTAAGTGCTAAGTGCTCAGCAGTGATGACAGTTTTCCTTTAAAAACTCATTTAAAAATCATCCTTATATTTTGATGGCTTTTCTTACTTCTACACTGAACATTCCTTTTTAAAGGGCCGGACGTGCGCGCGCATGTGTACTTCAGGAAGGACCAACTTTTCAATAATGTGTTTTCACGGTAGTTAATTCAAAACTCCGTTTAGCCACATGAGCAACAGAGCCAAGTAAATGACTTATTTTCCTTGAAATGAGTTAAGTGGTGAGTCTGTTATTTCATCAGACATGGGTTGGAGAAGTAACTACATGAAGCAGAGTTTGCTTTTTTATGTGACCTGTTGTGTATGGTATCTGCTGGGAGGTGGCCTCAGGGGGTCCATGGTCTAGATGAACGCAGTTAGATTATTTTCATGGGAATGATGGGGTGTTACTTCTAATGCCCATCTTTTCCAAACCAAAGTAAGGTCCTAGATGGAGAATAAATCACGCTGTAATTCTCAAGTACTATTGTTTTCTCTTTCTTTTTGATACGATCACCTGACTTGGTGAATCTTAAATCTGACATTTACTTTTTCATGACCAGTTAAAGCAGAAGTTTAGTTTCTAAGTAAAATTGTTTCTTTATATGTGGAACCTTCATCTGTCAGCAATAAGCACATTATTGATCATAAAATAATACATTATTAATTATAATTATTTCCATAAAAACCATTTTTATATTGAATTCGTGAAACTGATTTTCTAAGTTGTTGTGAAGAAAAATGTTTTTTGGGAAAAGCAAATACTTTTTCTCTTTTCTGCAAGAGTTTTTCCTGAATTTCCATCTTAAAGTTTCAGTTGACTGTAGTTTGCAGTGTGCTGTCTAAATGATTCGTGAGTTTCTTACACCACCGTCCGGGCCTGGGTTATACCTGCCTCCTTTACTCACCTGTGATGGGAAAGCCCATGAAACTTGAAGAAGCTCAAGAAAGGGCATGTGTACGCAGTGCTTACTAGCCTGGCACACAGTAGGTGTTTAAATACTTAACTTTAAGAAAGAATAATTACAGCTCTTAAATAATTTTAAGTAGGTATTTTTATCACAAATGTGGCAAATGTAAAAGATACATTGTAACCCAAACCATGATGGTTTTCCAAAGCCCACTCATGCTGGAGGAAAAGCAGCAGAGGAAAGAAACTGTTTGCCTTAATAAAAAAAAATTATTATACATAATTCTAAGTGGGATTTAATTACTTTGAGAACACAATTTTTTTAAAGTTTGAAAATTTTTGCCCAATTGAGTTGGATCATAGTATATGAAAATCATTTACAGTGAGCATATTTAATGTGATAGAAAGCACTATTTAAATGATTCTTTAAGGACTAAAAAGTTTTCTTATGTAGTCCTATGATTCTGTTCATACCAAACAAAACAGGTAAAGTTTCCACAAGTAGAGAAATGATTTTACTTAGAAGCTGGACTTCTACTTTAACTGGCCACGAAAAGGTATTGATTAGAAAACTAGATTTGCTACCGATTAGTTTGGCCTAGACTGAAATCATTACAGGTTTCAAACTTGTAATGGGATTCAAAATAATATTTTATGTATTGATACCTTCAAAACCTACCTGAGCGTTTTCCTAAGGCGTTTTATTTTTTCTTCATAGTTAAAAACAAATTTTTAAAATTAAAGGCTCTTCCTGAAGAACTGGCCCAAGGTGGATCTCCCTCATGCTCTCTCCCTCTCTTTACCTAAGCAAGAACTGGCCGTCCTTGTGAAGTGTCCCTGAAAGAGCGCCCTTAACACACGGCTTACGTGTAGGCGCACCGCTGCTTGGACCTGCGCGGGCCGGCAGTTGGGCTCGGGGCTCCTCAGAGTATGGAGAGCGTCAGACTGCACGGGCCGGAGCAGACCAGCGAGGGTCCATCTTACCCCCCACCGGGCAGGATTTTAGTGCGCCTGGAAGAGTTCCCGCCAGCCTTTCTAGGGCCTCACGACTGGGGACTTGGATGCTCTGCTGATGTGCTGAGTCCTGCATAACGGACGCAGGAGTAGCTAACATTGCATTGGGTACCAGTAGGACTTTGGGAACCTTGTACACAAAAAATATTCAAAGATGGGATTTATAACTGGTTTAGAGCCGAACAAAGAACCAGACAAATCATTTTAAATAGGTGAGTTTGTTGTATAGGCAAGTTTCCCCAGCCGTGGCTTCTGGACTGGAAAGAGTGGGACAGCATGGTAAATTAGCACACTGACATAGTATTGAAACTGTTTGAAGTCAAAATTTGAAAGACCCTATGCCTATGTGCTTACCTAGATGGGCCAAAGAAATGTGTTCAGTGTTTGGCAATACAGTAACTATAAAAAGAATCTGTATTAAAATATAGGAGGAGGACGGGCCCTGTACACTTCGGTCGTGAGCAGAGCATCTTGAAAGTAGAGCCCACACCTTCAAGTGTTCTCTGTACAAGGCTGAAGCCCACAGTGGCCCTGTGCTGGGTTCTTGGGTTATTGATCTGCCAGAGCAGCTTAGCTGCATGATGCTGGCTGGTATTGTCACTCAAAGGGCGAAGAAACATTGCAGATAAAATTGAAATCCTTGTTTTCATTCATTCAACAAGCATTTATGACCCTCCTGTGATGGGATTGATGGCAGGAATCCCAAATTGAAATGCCTCACCTTTGTCTTCTCATCCAGCCTCCGTGACCTCAACTGCCCCGTTGCTATATTACAGGTTTGTTTTGAATGCACATTCTCCTTCCTCCGTCCCTTAGCACGGGGCTGGGGGTAGGGTAGCAGCTGTGTAGGACATGCCACTTTGCCCTCATCCTTTGCCCATGACAACATTCCTAAGCTAAAACGGTGGGTTTCCCAGTGAGCCTGGGTATGGCCTCAGCGTCCTCTAGAACCAGTAAGGGCGCCTGCCTACCAGCCCTGGCCCCGCTCTGTCCTCTCTGATGAGTGAGTTGGGTGAGGACGAGCCCCCTTCCCTGCCCCTCCAAGTGTTTTCTCTCTGGTCCCTGCCCCCGCTCTCACCCCCACACCCTGTTGTTCATCTGGGCCCTATGACTTCGTTCTCCAGATGTTCTTCCCGCTCTCCTTTCCTGTTCATCCCTCATGGGGCCCGGCACTTCCATCTTTCAGGAATACCTCTGAATGCTGTGACAGTTTTACTCCACATTCTTCATCCTTTTTTTAAATAAGCAAAGCGAAATGAAACCTCTTCTCTATAGTAGTATATTAAATCTACAATATTATGTTGAACCAGAATCCTCTTCTGATTTACCCCTGCTCTCATGAACTTTGTCTTCCCTGCCAGATCACTTCCCTGCTTGCACTCAGACTCTTCTCTCCACCCGTAACATGGGCCTCCGTGCTTTCTGCTCACTTTGTCCTTCTTTGAAGTCTAGCTCGGATCCTCCTTTCTTTTTTTTTTTTTTTTTTTTTTAATACTTTTTTTTTTTTTTTTTTTAAGATTTTGTTTATTTATTTGACAAAGAGAGACACAGTGAGAGAGGGAACACAAGCAGGGGGAGTGGGAGAGGGAGAAGCAGG